TGCTGTCATGTTAAACTTATATTAAAGTTTTTCTTCATTACCCATTTAAGCCGTCTCCAGCCATTATTAGTCTCAAAGTGGGTTCCTCGTCATCGAATTTAAGTACTTTTATAATAATAAATAAAGAATAAATATGAAAAACAAGAAATAAAGTACTTACCCAATCTTCTTTTTCTTGCCCTCAACTGTCGAGGAGAGTTCAGCCCGATTTTTTATAGTAAAGCACTCAACAATTTTTATTTAATTAAATAATGCACCAAAGAATATAGACTAATAACATGCAAAAAGTAGACAAATTTCCCCTTACTCTCACTCATTACAAATTCATCCAAACTGGTCATTAACTTTCCCACAGGAACGAATCTTGTACTGTGAGTGAAATTAATGATATTCTGTTCAGAATACAATGTTATACAATACGCCATATAATAGATGAAAACCTTGACTTTCTATTGGTTATAGGTAATATATAATAAAATGTAAGAGAGAACATATCAATGAATTGTGAAAGAGAGGGTGTGGCAGGAGGGGGACTGATTTTATACTTGATAGCTCTGTAACCAAACAAAATTGAAGACTATAAAAATTATGGTTTGTCTGAGCAACGACGATTTTATAGAGAGTAATTTACATTTAATTTTTTACTTTTTCGAGGGGTAATAGATAAAATAGGGATGATGACATGCTAAGATAAAACGTGTCATGTGGGTCACACTAGGAGAAATTCAGAATTTTTTTAATATTGCATTATCAAAATAAAAACTTAAAACTTGTATACTATTAAAATATGGATTATAAGCTAAGATTTTATGCTGTTCTAATTGGTATGAATAAAAAGTTCTTTAATAAAATTTTGAATGTAAGACACTAAAACCTTGTGTTATCCGTAGTAAAGGATACCCGGGGAGATAGAGTTAAACCTTCTGATATAGTACTGTGTTGATAAGCCTAATATGAAGATTTTTGTGTTTCATACATTATTTAAACAGTACTATAAATGTACCAAACATAAAAATAAACATGTTGTAATGGTTAAACTGTATTTGTTTTAGGGTTTTCCCATTTGTTCTGTTCCACAAACCTCATGAAGATGAAGAAGGAATTTGTGTTGATGCAAGAGAGTATGGTAACATTGCAAGGTTTATACGCAGGTCGTGTACCCCAAATGCCGAAGTTAGTGTTTCAGAATATTTAGTTTTTACTTTTAATTCATTAATGTTATGACCAGAAATGTGCATGAATGAATTTATAATGTGTATGTGATTGAAAAATGTTCTTGACAAACATTGGTATGCAGTTGTTTTAAAAGTTCTTCTTAAAATATTTTTAATTTTTGCTTTCAAAGGCTGTTTACCAGATTCCGTTTATTTGAGAAAAAACATATCTTCTCTTTATGTATAAAAATAATACTTCTTTCATATAATGTCAGATTAACGTAATCTGTTGTAGTAATAAATCTTCAGAAAACACTACATCTTTGTGTTACTGAAAGCATATGTGTATTTATTAGTTTTCGAAGGTAATAAAAAAGTTAGCTCCTCACAGTTGGTTCCGTTTTATCTTGCATTCCTGATGAAAGTTTTTTAATTTTCCAAATAAATTTCCACCAACATTCATTATATGATATCAACACTGAAGAATAGTTCATAAGAAGGAAAAATAGTTTAGTGACTTCATTAATTCATTCCAGGTACGACATGTTATTCTCAATGGTCTTCTACATCTGTATATATTTTCTCGAAAAGATATCAAGAAAGAACAGGAAATCACTATTCCATTTGATTTTGCCTCTGACGACAGGTGAGTGTGTAG